TGGAAAGGCTAGTGTTAGGTATTGTTTTGTCATCTTATCCTAATTGTTCCACTCAGGCAGCGACGTGGCAGCCAACACCAATTGCCCCAGGGATGGAGCTGGCTCCCACATTAGGGAACTCTGAGTTCTTCTGACTTCCCATACTGGGAACTGTGATAGCTAGTTTAGCTTTGTGTGCTCTGACCACCCTCTCTATGAAATTGTGTGCCAAAAGAAAATCCTTCTCATTGAGAGGTTTTCTTGCCTGGAGGCATTAGGCACAATTATAGATGCAACTAGGGTTGCCAGATGGCTTCAACAAAAATACCAGACACACTCGATATTACATCACAATCTACATTACATCTTATTTAGAAAATACTGGACATTTATATTTTCTTATTTATATTTTCTCAATTTGTTTCCCAAACAGAAAGCTCAAATACTGTACTGTCCAGTTCAAAACTGGATGCCTGGCAACCCTAGATGAAACGAGGACCCATGACCATGAGGATGAAAGGGAAAAGGTAATCACATCTCAGAGCTGGGATACAGTTAAACAAATGGGCTGGGTCTAGACTGGCCAGTTTTTCTGGAAAATCAGCCGCTTTTCCGGAAAAACTTGCCAGCTGTCTACACTGGCCGCTTGAATTTCTGCAAAAGCACTGACTTCCTACTGTAAGAAATCAGTGCTTTTTGCAGAAATTCTATGCTGCTCCCGTTCGGGCAAAAGTCCCTTTTGCGCAAAACTTTTGCGCAAAAGGGCCAGTGTACACAGCTCAGATTTGTTTTCCGCAAAAAAGCCCCGATCGCGAAAATGGCAATCGGGGCTTTTTTCCACAAAAGCGCATCTAGATTGGCCATGGATGCTTTTCTGCAAAAAGTGCTTTTGCGCAAAAGCGTCCGTGGCCAATCTAGACGCGCTTTTCCGAAAATGTTTTAACTGAAAACTTTTCCGTTAAAAGCATTTCCGGAAAATCATGCCAGTCTAGACGTAGCCTTCGTGTTCTGAAAACTTTGAAATTCCAGGGGCTCCTCCTGCTAGCACTGTAGTTAGAGTAAGGTCAATCCTTTGTTACCATCAGCAGAATAATGGTATATTTTTGTTTATCCAAGTTGAATCAGTAATGCACCTCTACTGCTTTTCACTTTCAGTATGTGTATCATCATTTTAATGTTGTTTTTTTACTTCTGCATAACTTCATTCTTCTGCAATAGCGTTTCAAAGTGCATTAAACAGATATTTTCTTCTGTATTTCCATTTTCATTTAGTATCATTCAAGATCCTGGATTTAAATAAAAAATGGACACTTTATTGGAGACACAATTTTGTTGTCCTTCTGAACAATCTAGAGGGATTCTACAATGGTTCTCTTGAGTGCCTCATTATGTCCTGTACAAACCACAATCCAGGCAAATGTTCAACCATCAAATACATTAGAGCTGTCTATAAACTTGATAATGCATTAAGGGCTGAGTAGATTATTAATTGTGCAAGGTTTTTTTAGTATTCCAAAGTGGTGGGTGGGCCTTGCAGATCCATTTAAAAAGTATAGATAGCCTCCTACACATTTGGTAGAGTCAGATAAGTGCCATAATTACCAGAAACACTGTGGTAAAAACATGACATTTAATCTTCTCAACACGTGTCACAAAGACGGCTATTTGCAGAGAGTGATTTTTTTCCTATGAAGGCAAAGCCTGATTGACTGCTTGCCTGGGGTTAACATACCAATGAGTAGATTATTAGAAAGCGTAACGTATCCTGTGGAGCCATTCTCATTAAAATAGCCTCTGCATTCAAAGCCTTTTCAGGCTGTTATTGAATTAAGTAATGGGAATGCCATGTGCATGTGGTACTTTATAAATAGATATTTCCTTTTGGGTTCACTCTAACATCAGGATTAGCGGGATGGGGCAATCTCCTCACCCCCACTTCCACAGTTGGCTTCTGACAAATAGAATTCAGAAAATTGGTGAGTAAAGTCCAGACTAAAATTGCCAAGTTTCTACTTGAACAAATCTGAACACCTTTGCTCCTCCCCTTCCCCCTGCTCTACTCCTTCTCCAAGGTCCTCCCCCACTTACTCCAGCCCTGACTTCTTCTCTCACTTCCCCTCCCCATCCTCACTCACTTGGCTCATATTCACTGGGCTGGGGCAGAGGAATTGGAGTGCAGCGGGTCAGGATGAGGGCTCTGACCAGGAATGTGGGTTCTGAGGTGAGGCTGAGGATGAAGGGTTTGGGTGCAGGAGGGTTTTCTGGGCTGGGACTGAGGAGTTTGGGGGGCAAGAGGGGAATCGGGGCTAAGCCAGGGCATTGGGGAGTGGGATGAGGGCTCTGGAGGGGAGTGGAAGGTCCAGACTGGCTGGGATGGGTCCGGCCGTGAGGTGTTTGAGGTGCAGGAGGCTACTCCAGACCGAGATTGAAGAGTTCAGGGGGAGGAGGGGAATCAGGGCTAGGGCAAGGGCTTGGGGCATGGTGGGTGAGGCTCCAGCTGGGGGTGCGGGCTCTGAGCTGGGACCAAAGGGTTCGGAGGACAAGAGGGACATCCAGGGCTGGAGCAGGGGATCAGAGTGGAGGGAGGGGCTCAAGGCTGCAGGTTCTAGGCAGTGCTTACCTCAAGCAGCTCCATGAAGCAGTGGCATATCCCCCATCTGGCTCCTAACTGGAGGCACCACCAAGCAGCTCTGCAGGCTCCCCCATCTGCAGGTGTCATCCCCACAGCTCCCATTGGATGGTTTCCCCAGCCAATGGGAGCTGCAGAGCTGGCACTTGACATTGGGGCAGCATGCAGAGGCCCTCTGACTACTCCTGTGTGTAGGATCTGGAACTGGGACATGCTGCTTATTCCAGGAGCTGCTGAGAGCCAAGGCAGGCAGGGGGACCTGCCTTAGCCCGACTGTGCCACCAACCAGATTTTTAACTACCTGGTCAGTGGCACTGACCAGAGCCAGTGTTCCTTTTTGAGCAGTGATTCCAGTCAAAAACTGGACATGTGGCCACCCTAATCCAGACAAAAACAACTAAAACAGTTAAAGGTCTAGAAAACATGCCCTATGAGGGGGAAGATTGAAAATAATGGATTTGTTTAGTCTGGAGAAAAGAAGACTGAGAGAGGACATGATAGTGGTTTTCAAGTACCTAAAAAGTTGTTACAAGAAGGAAGGAGAAAAATGATTCTCCTTAACCTCTCAGGATAGGACAAGAAACAATGGGCTTAAACTGCAGCAGGAGGGTTTAGGTTGGATGTTAGGAAAAACTTCCTGTCAGGGTGGTTAAACACTGGAATAAATTGCCCAGGGAGGTTGTGGAATCTCCATCATGGGAGATTTTTAAGAGCAGGTTAGACAAATGCCTGTCAGACATAGGGATATGATTAACTGGTAAGCCTTGCCCTTAACAGGTGAGGCTTACTGGTTCCGGTTAACTGGAAAGAGCAGGAGCAGTCCTTGTCCATGGTGGGCCCCTCATCTCTTCCCCTCTCCCCCCAACAAAGGCAGGGGCTGCTCCAGACTTCCAGCCGGAGCAGCCCTTGTCGGTCCCCCCCACTCTCTTTAAACAGTTAACTGGTTAAACATTATATTTAGCCGGTTAACCAATTAAACTGAATTTTACATCCCTAGTCAGGCACGGTCTAGAAAGATAATACTTTGTCCTGCCATGAGTGCAGGAATCTCTACTAGATGACATCTCAAGGTCCTTTCCAGTCCTAGGATTCTCTGAAATCAGACCATTTGTTACATAACACACCTCTGACACAGTGACCAGAACCAGAAGGTTCAGAGGAAGGGCAAGAAACCATGACAGAAATTTATCATTCATTGTAATTATTTTAATTTGGTTCTTTGAGAAGCAATTCCATAAAGTACTAGTCCTTGTATTGTCAACCCCAAGCATTCAAAAATAATGAGTCAGTCCTTTTCCTTCAAATAAACAGACTTCTTAAAAGAGTATATTCTGATTTCTTTATATTTGCTTTCTGGTTGTTTAACCTTTAGGGCACAGTTAGGTCATGGTTTCTAACTTTTCTCCCCAGTCACAAAGACTATGAACTTACTTTTAAGTGAAAGCCAAGATTTTCATGTGTGAGTACTCCAGCAACAAGGGCACTAAGAAAAATACTAAAGCTATGACTACGCTACAAAATTATGTTGACTTAACTTGTCAGCATACAGCCACAACAGTATTAAATCATTTTTGCACATGCACACTTGGCTCCTTGTGTCAGCAGTGCATGTCCTCACCCCTACTGCTTGTACTGATTGCAGTGTCAGTGTGAGAGGTTGTGGGACAGCTCCAGGAGACTAACAGGCAATGTAAGCAACAATGTCTACACTGACACTGTGTTGTCCTATTTACTTTGACAATTATTTTGATTCTATGCTGCTTCGGGAGACAGCTTTACTAAACAAGTGCAGAACGGAAGTTACTTTGTTGCAGGAAGCCAACTTTAATAAAAAAAATTATACAGCTAGTTCCATGCAAAGCAGCTTACATCAACCTAACCAAGCAGTGTAGTCCAGGTGTTAAAAAAATCAGTAGACCCACAATACAAGTGTAAGCTTTGACAACATGTATATTGTTTATTTAACAAATTATGTGGAACCAATGCTTTGTGGTAAATTTTGTAGCATTTGTTACGATCAAGTATTTTTGCTCTGCTGTGCAATTTGGGGCAAGGGTCCCTGGCCAAATCTTTAGATCCAAACATCTCGAATTTTGATTTGGAATTGGGTTTGAATTCCCCGCCGTTTCCATACCAAGCCAAACCCAGGCTCCCGGAGGCCAGTCCCAAGTTTGCAACAAGTTGGAGCCCGACCACGAAGTTCCACAGCCTGTGCGCTAGCCCCAGCCTGAGCTCTGCATTCCTCCGCGTTCCGCCGGCAGAACGCCCCGGGCCTGGACGTTCTCGAACGCCCCGGGCCTGGACGTTCTCGAACGCCCCGGGCGACCAATCGCGCCTCCGGTGTCCGAGGTCGAGCGCGCCAATCAGGCTCGAGAGCGACGTGCGGGGCGGGGCTCGGGACGGCGAGTTGCTGAGTTCCCGGCGGCAGCTGCTGCAGGCGGGCGGGTTGCGGGCATGGTGCGGGGCAGGATCACCCGGCTGGGGGTGAGCGACGTCCGCTTCCCCACCTCGCGGGGGCGCCATGGCTCCGATGCTATGGGAAGCGCTGCAGCTGCCGGCTACCTGCCTCCCTCGGGCTGAGCCAGCTGCGGCGGAGCTCGGCCTCGCTCTGCGGCCCCAGCCACAGGCCTGGGTGACGGGCCCTTCCGCCGCACCAGCGGGGCGGGGTCTAAAAAAGCCGAGCTGCTGCTGCTGCACCGGTCCGTGGGGCCAGGCGCTGATCTGGGGCTGCTGCACTGAACGGGCCAAGAGCACCGGGAGCCTGCCCCCCCACATCTAGACAGAGGCGGTCACTGCTGTAGTTAGCTCCCGTCTGCGCTCCTCAGCCTTGGGTGTAAAACTTCCCAGTTCCTCAGATCAAATGCTAGTGATCGCGCCCCTCCGCTTCTCCCAGCATGACTTGCACTCTTCAGGAGGAGAGGGCCTAAGTTACTTCTGCAGATCGAGACTTTTATATGTAGCTTGCCACTAATCTGAAATGGCCTAGACCACTGCCCTCTGTGCCAGTCCTCTGTGGTGTGTTTAGTGGTCTATGATGGGCGACTCTCTGTTAATCCACCTTTGTAAGTTTCTTGCTCCAATATTGGGTGTTGTTTCTTGGTCTTTAATTTAGCACCCGGACCCTGACTATTCTGCTGCCTATGTTGTCATAGAAACTGATGCCTGCGATGGAATCAAAGGCTATGGATTAACGTTTACTTTGGGTAAAGGTACAGAAGTTGGTAAGTTATTATCCTGCCCTTAAACACAAATGGGCCCCAAGTAGCGCTGAAAGCATTGAGGTCAATGACCAATGCAGTTTTTTCCATTTTTGAAAATGAAATAAAGGGCCATTTCATATCTTTTTTTAAAAAAAGCTGAAGGCCTTGGGACAGTGTGTAGGGTTGTAGAGGTTGCAATTTAAGCATTTTCTTTGATTTTTGTTTTAATACATCACTTACTGGAGAAGCTCTTCTGCAGAATCCTATCAGATTTGCAGGTTGCTGATTCTAAACTTGCTGGTGTCTTGTAACTGCTTTAAGCTTTTAACAGACCTTGCTTGCTTGCTTCCCTGCCTTCCCTCCACCTCCAGCTTTCCCCATCCAAAACAAAAAACAGAACTGATTGTTTTGAAATTGTAATTCATGGTAAAAACTTCAGTCTGCCTCATCATTGGTGTAAGAGTAGATGTTTTGAGAAGCCGAAGGAAGATGCTAACAGTGAGAAGGCATCAGTGGGAACATTCACAGAATAGTAAAAAAGAGGATGGGGGGGAAAATATGTCCCTTCCCTCCCTTCAATAACTACACCAGTTCAAATAAACTCTCATTCTGGTAAGTTCCTGAGCAGCCATGTAAACTTACTTAAGAGCAGTATCAGTGATTTACATTTTGCATAGCATTTTCTTTCCGAAAAATAGGCCCTGGTCCTGCACAAAACTGTGAGAACAAATCCCTGTATCTACACACAGCATCATTGACTTAGTGCCTCCATTTGTCCATCTGTCTAGTTCTCTTTGTAGAATCAGATCCTTTGAAGGTAAAGACATGGAGCCTGCCTCTTTTTAAACCTGTAAAACACCTGTATGCTTCGTGGGAGCATTACATAAGTTGTCAAAATAATAATGGTTGGTTTTGGGGTATCTCTGCTGCATATAAATCTCCATGGACATTTGCAGATACAACTCTCCAGATTACTTGATTTGAGAAGTGACTGCATAAAGGACAGGAAATCTTTGTATGCCTGGCTGACGTACTCATTGGTACAATTTAAGTTACTTATTAATCCTCAATAAGAGGAGTGACAATTTGCGCTTAACTGTATGTGGCATCACTGTAGCCATGTTGGACCCAGGTTATTAGTCTAATATTATCTCACACGCTTTTTCTATCTCCTTATGGTTGAGCGAAACAAGCTTTCGAGGTTATATAGCGCTCAGCGCTGAAGACCTGCACTCTGTAACCTGAAAAGCTTCTCTGTCTCACCAACAGAAGTGGTTCCAATAAAAGATAACTCCCTCAGCCAACTTTTCTCACACTTAAAATCACGATGGCCCTGTCTGCATTGGAGACATTTTCTAAATTCCACTCAGTTGCTAACACCCATCCATCTATTAGCAACATTGGGAACCCTAGTGCAGTATAGATGGGCTGTTGCCACTTTATCACTGTGTCATGTAATTCAGCTAGGAGCAGGTCTCATTTAAAGTATTGGGAGCTTGTCTGCACTAAGGCTGCCATCCCTGTGAACCGTGAGAAGGTTTTAGAAAACGTCCCTGTTGTTGACAGAGACTTAGGCTCTTCATCCATTTTAGTAGTTTAATTGTGAGTCTGTAATACCTCTTCATTGCCTTAGATGTGTGATGGGCAACTCAGACGTATCTGTGACTAGGGATGTAAAAATGCACTTAAAAACATAACCGTGTAACCGTTACAACTCCTAGCAGTTACATGTGCTGTGGGCTTTGCAGCATAACGCTTAAATAGCACCCGGACCTGGAATATTCTGCAGCTTTATACTGCAGAGCCTGGAGCGAAGCCACCTCTTTCGGAGCAGGGTGGGCAAGGAGTGACCCCTCCAGCCGGGCTAAAATGGCCCCTGGCGAGGGAGGAGGGCTGCCAACTCCCAGCCTGCGAGTCCACGCTGGCAGCCCTCCTTCCTTCCCTCCCCCGCCGCTTTTACTCTGCATGAGCCTGCCGATTCCCAGCCCATGTGGGCTGGGAGCCAGCAGCCCTACGTGTAGGGCTGCTCCTGGGTAATGATTAACATGTTACCCTGATGCTTGCTTCACTCTAATAGCAGCTTTGCCTGTTCTTGCTCACAAGGAACATTCCTTTGTAACCATAAGCCTTGGTTTGTAAGCGTGCAATGAAGTCACTCTGTAAAAGGGTAAGGAAGCCTGTGGGCCTGCTCTAAGACAGTGGTTTTCAGTCTATGGTTCCTGGCCCTTAGGGATCCGCAGACTGCCTAAGACTTCCAAAAGGGTCTGCATCTCCATTTGAAATTTGTAGGGGTCTGCAAATGAAAAAAAGTTGAAAACCACCGCTTTTAAGTGAAATGATCTGAACTGTGTAGCTCAGTCTTCAGCCTGGCGCTTAGGAGAAAATATTTAGAGAACGAAAACACAGATTTATTTTTGGGGTGTGATTAGGATTGGAAAGGAAAGGAAAAGCAGGGTAGGTTTAAATGGATGCTAAGAACGTGATCCATGTGTGTTTATTTAAGCATGTATCTTTGCAAAGATTATCTACTGCTCTTCTTTACCCATTGCTCTTCTGTACACATAGATACACATGTCCATACTTAGCTGAATACTCAGTTTCTTAAAAAGATACAGCCAAGGTTCTAAACTTTACTGTATATCTCTGGAGGTAACTGAAAAAAGTTAACACCAGTTTGTTAGCATTGTGCATGCAAATTCTGTAATGTGTTAGTTATCTACTGTTTGACGATTTGCGAGAGATTTACAATCCAGGGCCAAATCTTGATTTTTTTTCCCCCCCAGGGTCATTCTCAATGATGATAAGTTTTGTGCTCTTAAGCTATAGTAGTGTATCCATTGCACATCACTTTTTCTTACAACATTACAAAGTAGGTCTCTAAGCAACTCTTTGTAAGTGCTTCATTGCCTGGAAACCTTTCAGCTATCAGCATTCTCACATCACAGGATGACAGTCACAAAACCATAATCCGTGAAAACCTTGAGTAGAGTGACAATACTAAATGGCTGCGTCTAGACTGGCAAGTTTTTGCCAGATTATATGTTCTGCCTTACATCAGATTATATGTTGTCTACCTTTTTATATCTCTGTTTATAAAATATTTTTAAAATTAGTCCATTTACTTTTTTCCTTTTAAAGACTATTATTGAGTGCCCAAACAGGCACAACTATCAAATATTCACATTTGATAGTCATCTCCATGTACAAACCATAAAACCCTGTGGTTTTTGAATGTCAAAATAATCTCTAAATATTCCAGTGCACTATACATAGTCACTTGCCATCATAAAGGTATCTGTTACTGGTTTGGGAGTCTCCGCAATGCCTTTGAAAAGATTTTCAATAAAGAAGTGGTCCTTTGATCATACATTAGATCTACATACATTGGATCTACAGGTTGAACCTCTCTAGTCCGGCACCCTTGGGACCCTTGGGACCTGACCAGTGCCAGGCCAAAGAATTTGTTGGACCACGGGAGGTCAATATTGTCTAGCAGCATTACTAACACTTCTGCTGCTTACTGGGCTCTTAAAAGACATTTAGGGATAAATTAGAGCTAAATAACAGCACAGGTTACATGAATGCTTATCTGACCCTTATCACCATAGAAGCTGAGCACCTTTTAGTCTTTATCCTCACAGTACTCCTGTGAGGTAGGGAAATATTATTTTCCCATGTAACAGAAAGAAAGACTGAGACTTACCTAACGTCACCAAAACATGGGAGCATGGACTTAAACGTACCCATACCAAATCTCAAGCTCATGTCTTACATAAGTGGTCCTAACAGTATCAGGACCAAGATTTCTTGTTCACTTGGGCTACGTCTAAACTACACCCCTCTGTCGGCAGAGGGATGTAAATTAGATGTATCGAAAGTGCAAATGAAGCTGGGATTTAAATATCCCATGCTTCATTTGCATAATGGTGGCTGCCACTTTTTTTTTTCTAAATGGGGCTTTTCGAAAAAAAACAAAAAAACCAACCTGGAAGTTTAGACAGGGCATTTTTGACAGAAATGCCCTGTTTTAAAAGATCCTGTACTCCTCCAAAAATGAGGTGTACAGGATCTTTCGAAACGGGGCATGTCTGTCGAAAATGCCCTGTCTAAACTTCCAGGTTGGTTTTTTTGTTTTTTTTCGAAAAGCCCCATTTAGAAAAAAAAGCTGCAGCCGCCATTATGCAAATGAAGTTTATCTCACATCTAGTTTAGGCATAGCCTTGGCTGTTCTCTATTTTTATTTCTTCTTATCTATATCAGAAGATGATGGTTGAATGATGCTAAAATTTCTGACATGCTTTTTCTGTGATTGCCTTCACTCTACCCAGCCTGCTAAATAACAGTGGCATATAACATATTTTCCTGATTTGCTTGTGTTGTTTGCTCTAACAAAAACTCTGCTGGAATTTGTGTTGAGATCTGCAGTGGTTTATAGTACTGGAACAAACCTGATTTTTAATTCTCAGATTTCTGGGAGTTAAAACCACTGGATCACAACTATAGTATTAGGGCCTGAAACAAATTCCCTTATGAGGAAATGAGAAATGTAATATACAGGCAGTCCCCGACTTACGCGGATCCGACTTATGTCAGATCCGCACATACGAACGGGGCTTTCTCGCCCCGGAGCTCACAGGCAGCGGTCAGCCACCTCGACCTCTGGGGCGAGAAAAGCTGCTCCCGGTGCCCCTGGTCTGCTGGGGACCGTCTCCAGCAAACCATGGGCACCG